TTTTTTTTTTGTTTGTTTTTTTTTTTTTTTTTGTTTCCAAATATTTACACAACTGGGAGCTCTTGTTCCATATTCCTTGAAGGAATGGCAGGAAAGTGATTTGCAGCACGGGCTGCATAAATCCTTCTTCAAGGAGAGAGCTTTCCCCTCAGGTCAAACTAAAGCAGACAAATGTTAAGTGCATTAAAATGTTTAAGGCTTTAAATTTATTCAGGGTCCCAAATGTCAGGCTGATACTCTTGATTCTGGGGGCAAGGTAAAACCAAATGCGAATGAAGAAGCTGAAAGGTTACAAATTCAGTGAATTCAGTTAGACCAAAGCAGGCTTGGACAGCACAGAAGTGGCTCTTGCACTGCAAGAAATAAGGACAGAGGTACATCAGTGCCAGTCACTGCAGTGATGTGGTACAGACCATGGTCCCCTCAAGGAAAGCAAATTATAAACTGCATGTAGCTCTCCTGATGGTGTGAAGAGAATGGGTTATCACAAGCTATGCGACAATTACAGGATTTCCATGCTGCTGACATACATTATATCCTATAGTTTATTTACATACTTCAGTCATCAATAACCCTTCTCCATTACAGCTGTCAAGTATTATATATAGTTTCTTATATTACAAAGAAAAAAAAATAGAATTATAGGTGGTCTTGCTGTATTTTTATTATTTATCTGGGGAAACTGGCACAAGAACAGCCTTGTGGGGTATTAGAAAAATCACTCCTTGTTTACAGGAGTGTTGATCAAAGAGGAAACTGCTAAATCCTTTCAAGCAAGGAAGAGTCAGTGCAGGCTGTCAGTGAGGTGTGAGCACTCCGTCTCTGAAGCACTGGAAACAGTGCTTTAATAATACAGAACCAAAACATAATTAGATTTGTTCCAAGGGACAAGGCAAGCAGGAAAAAAAATGGAAATTTCTGCCCGTTTTCCTTTAATCAAACACTACCACTGTGGTCATTAATAAATTCAGATAATTTACCTTTCCTAGCAGGTAAACCTTTCAACAGTAAACAACTGCACTGGTTTTTACTGTTAAGATGAAAGCACTCTCATCCCCTGCAGCAGACACTGGATGACTCTTTCCTCCTCCACTGTGGCTTTTCTAGTTCTGGGCTACAGTGATGACTTTCCAATGTCTCTAACAAATTCTGTATTTCTTGCAAGACACTATTAATACATGCTGTATCTCTTGCAAGAGACTTCCAATTCCCTTGGCACAATCCTCTGATTGCCATGGAATAAAAATGAAAAAATAATCCACAAACCAAACACAGGCCTACTTTATTAGTAATTTTACTGCTGTTGTAGCTTTTTGATCTCTATTTAACATTGGAACTTTCCTGTGGAAAATACAGAAATCCTGCCTGATACCATGATTTGGAAGTGCCAAGTTGTGTTGGCTTTTTTTCCCTTTTCACTTTCTATTTCTAAAACCTACTTTCCCAGCTTCCTAAAAATCTTCTTATCCTTACTAATTCCCACACCAAGTCTAAACCAGAAAACTGGGTGTCAGTTGTTTTCCTGTAAGTAGACATCAAAACAAAGGAAGCACAATCTTGCTGTGAATTCAGCAATAATGCAGTACAGACGAAAAAAAAGTTTGCATCACTTTATATTTTCAGCAAGATAAATAACTGTATTATTCTATGAACAATTTTAAAATAAAATTAGATAAAATCTTGATCTCTTTAAGGAAATCTATCATTGCAGCTTTTGGACCACAAAAGAGGAGACTTTATGACTATGTGTCAGACAATACAGATAATGGGTTCATTGACCTGTTAAGCTGCTGAAATAAAATAAAAACAAAAAAATCACAAAAAGCTGAAAAATCTATACTAAATATTTGCTGTTTCCCAATCTCCTTGAAGATAAATATTTTAAATTCATGACAAGATAATAAATCACTTTATAAATTCATTGTTTTCCATAGGGGTAAGGAGTTTACTGGGAAATTTCATTTTATTGAAAGGTAATTATTATTAATACCACTTTAAAACACAGTTTTTTTTCCAGGTCTGCTCCTTCAAGCTTCAAATTTATTTACTGCAAGTAGGACTCTTTCAGAGTTCTTTGGTATTCATTTTCAGAATTTCTTATAAGACTAAGAAATGTTCAAGTAACGTCCAAAAGGAGACTACAGGAACCTGGGGATAAATTAGGAGAAGGAATCCAGATTTTCTCCCTACTTACATGAGAAGTAGGTGTGAATCAATTTCTAACATTTCAATTTGGGAGCATATTGAGCACATGCTTGGTCATGAGCACATGCCATCAGCTCACTGTTTATTTCAAAATTCAAACTCGAAGGGTGCTGCTGAGTGGCTTTGGGATCGGCCACACTGATCCCAAGTTCACTGCTGCTGAGCCTGGCCAGGGACACAGCCTGTGCCAGATGGAGCTGGCAACCCAAGCCTATCACCAGCCAAGGAGCTGAGAGGGCTCACACTCTGCTGGGATGCTCAAAGGCAAAATAAATCCTTTTGTGTAGCAGCGCTGACATCACAGGGGAGACTGCTAAGCTTTGTGGGCATCAAGCAGCACGGATTTGGGATGTGATCCTCTGTTAACAGATGCTGCCATTGCTGCACTGACACAGCAGCTGAGAGCATGGCCAGGTACCAAAGGGCTCTGAAGGGCTCGTGTTCCACAGAACCATTTGTTGATTTAAACATGTGCCTGGAGAAATGACAACATTCCAGCTTTGGGCCTTGGGGTACTGAAGAGTTTTTCAATGGTAAACACTAAAAATGTGCCCATACTTACCCACATCTCCTATTTCAAATGCTGGCATTGTTCTACTGGTTTTTAATTTATTTAGGGTTATTTTGGATTGTTTTTGAAGAAATTGTAAACAAAAATGAATTTTAAAAAAAGGATCAGGATATATACCTCTCAGAATTCTCCATGGTGCTGTGCTGGAGACACAGGCTTTCTCTCTGCTCAGTTCAGAGCAAGTTCAATTTATTTAGTCAGCTGCTCTCCCAGTTTGTTTGAATGCAATGCTATGTGTGCAAATTTTCACACCAGACTACACCTGGAACTTCACAGGTCAGATAAAATTTTTAATTATGATCCACGTAAACGACTGAGTTCAGAGCCTCTTCCAGGGGGATTACAGACTGTCTCCAAGGCTGGGAACAGATGTACTTTAGGAATTAATTGCATTTCTTAATGACTTGCATCCCTTCCAATCCACGACTTCAGTGGGACCAGAAGCAAAGCAAAATTTGGCCTACCATGTTGGCTGTTTCAGCATGACTTTCAAATGGATGCTTTGCACAATCAATTGTCAGACCTCAGAGAAAATGTTGCCCCATTCACTGTAAAACAGGAAGGTCCACAGAGGAAAACAGTTGCATTAGAAAAGCACACAAACAACATTAAGGCTACCTAGTAGGATGTTTTCAACCCTTTTTGTTTTCCTCTGCAAACAATGACAGTTTCAGTAAGATCTGAAGCGATGCTCTGAACAAATAATACACTAGTCTGTCATTGGTTAATATTAACGTCTCTCTATTCAAACATGCTGAGAACTGAATAGAACAGTTAACATATAACAGTCACACATCCTTTGCTGAGTACAAGATCGTATCTCTAACATCAACCAAAGATTTCCTCACCATTTCAGATCTTCATCTATCATTCAGTAAAACATTCCATTCTCTTAAATACATTGCTTGTCTCCTCTTTCTGGGTCTTTTGGGGGTGCTGCATGAACACATTCTCTCCCTAAAGGCATGGCCTTTCTTCAGCTGAAATCTTGCTGTGTGTTCCCATTATGTTGCCAGAGGTGAATTTGCAGAGCTTGGGGGAGGGAAAATCTTGCATCTGAATCGAAAAGATTGAATTTTTAAGCATCAGTTTGGGCAGGATTCTGCACTGAACTGCAGAAAGATCATCTTGAAGAAATTAATGGTGAACGATTCATTACTTGTGATCATATCTTGAAAACTGTTGAACTAGAGGTTTATATAGCACCCAGTTTTCATAAAATAGGAAAATTCAGGAATGTTCACAGAGCTTATGGGCAGAGGCAAGCTCCCTTTGCTCATGTCCTGAGATGGGGGATGCAAGTGGTGTGGACAGAAAGGTCCAATGACTGTAGGGGTGCAAAGCTGAGCCCCACCTGATGCACCCTGCCTTTCAGAGGGTTTATCTGGGGTGGGCTCAGGGCCATGCCAGCTGAGCTCATGCACAGTGAGACTGTGCCCAGGCACCACGTATGGCAGGGAAATGCCAGGGTGAGCCCACACCCCACGGGGATTTCCCCTCACTGCTACAACAAAAGCTCTGTCTTTGCAGAATGGAGTCTGAACACCCCACACTCCATCCTGGAGCATAAAACAATAGTAGGCTCTCAAATACATTTCTGTTGAAAACACACAGCAAAGATTGCAGCCATAGAAAATTCTGTAAACAGGACAATTTCATCAACTTTATCTTTAAAAGTACCCCCAAAACCACAAAAGCAACCAAAAATAAGACTTGCTGAATGAAGACCGTCAAAAATAATTTTTTTTACTGCCTTAACAAAAAAAAAAAAATGACGTACACCTTCAGCATTTCTTTTCCAAATTTACTTGACAGAGGTTAAGATATTGCTTTATTCTGACTCAACATACAACAGCACTGTGGGATTGATTGTGCTATTTTGGGAAGTCTTGAGACTTGTGAACTAGAAAGTCTGGGGCACATTATAAGTCTAACAATTATTTTGCTTCAAAGGAATATTTTAATACATTCTGTATATACTCTTAAATTTTTTTAAATCAGTCTCCTGGCACTAACCAGGGAAGGCTATTTAGTGATTATTTACTATAGTGGATTTTTTTCCCCCAAGAATAAGGAGGTATTTTAAGACAGTAAACCCAGTAAGGTGTGTCACTGAACCCAATTCATTGCAAAATTGGCACATTCTGTTACAATTTATGGGGGGAAGAGGCACTCAAAAGAAGGCTAATGCAAAAAGGACTTACAGTGTGATTAGGAACATCCTCTCTAAGGCCTTGATCCCCTGCAGGGAGGGACTTGGTGGAACCATCTGCTCTTAGAAAGCTCCATCAGAGTCAGATCTCTGCATGCCTGTGGGTCTGCCCATACTGAACCATCTGCAAGGTTGAAGCTTTAAAGTTCACAAGCCTAAGCCATAATTAATTAAAGTGACTGGAGAACTGAATGCAGGAACAAATTAGGCAGCGTGGACACTTACTGGCTGGATTTTGATCATACTGGATCTCCCTGACTCTTCTCTGAACAAGCCATAATAAAAAATAAGTTTAAAAAAAATACACACACACCGAGAAGTGCTCCTTGAGAGCTTACAAATGCTTTTAAAGTGTAAAAGTTTAGAAATGTTGAGGGGTGCTAACGAACAACAGAGTTTATGTTTCCACTTAAAAAAAACCAAACCAGAAACCAAAACCAAACCTGTTGTAATACACACGTTTACATTTCCTCTCGTTCTTCCTCACTCTCCACCAAGGCAGCTCTGATAGGCAAAGCTCAGAAGATGGAGCAGCTGTGGACTCACTGAATCTCTATAGACCCCAATCCTGCTCCCACTCTTGGCCAATCCCAAAGCTCATAAATTATTCCTTTGACTTTCTTTGGGCGACTGACACATTGAATTAATGTTAAGAGTTAAGTATCTGGTCAATTCAGGGACGTTGTTATCATTCCACAGCAGGTACCAGAACTCAGAACTAGGTGTCTGTGTGCCTGATCTCGTGATGTGAACCCGGAATCAAGAGCAGAGGGGGAGAGGGGACTGGGTCTGTGTTGGGCTTACAGGACATGTTCTCCAGGGTCTGAATCCCTGCCCAGCAGCTCACTGCAGCGCTGCCCTGAAACCAGAAATGCATCTAAGGATGGTACTTGGCCTTTACTGAAAAGGAGATGCATAGCCTAAGCCTTCGGACAGCCGAACAGGACCATGGAAAAGTCCTCTGGAACTGGAACTGTGTAATCCTGCCTGGAAAGCATCTAAAAGCACGCTTCATCCCTCCTGGAACTTTTCCCTTAAAAAAATATTTTGTTAAAAAACACTATGATATGAGGGCGATTGACTATTTGGTTTCTTCTAAGTAGATGCTCTTAAATTAATGCATATAAATAATTTGTATTTAACTTCCTCCCTTCCTGTTCAGCAAAGCGTCGAACGCGCGGACCCCTCGCTTGCCCTCCCGCAGCCCCCAGGCGGAGTCACTTGGTGAGTACCGAGTCTCTCTGCGTGTCACTTTTGAGGACAAAGTGTGCCTCTCGCTCTGCCTTGGCCGTGGGGCTCATGGGCAGGAAGGCCGTGTTCTCGCTCGCGCCGCCCCGCGCCTCCGCGCCCGCCAGCTCCGCGTCCTCCGCCCGCCGCGCGTCCGTCAGCATCCGGATCTGCTCCTGCACAGTTTCCAGCAAGACTTTCACCTCGTGCTGTTCTGCTATTAGACAATTACTGACTGGGGAACTCACGTTGACAAGTTCAGCAGAATAGGAGTTTTTGCACCATTTGATGCCTGTTACTTCAGGAACATTTTGCATTTGCATGCAGGCTTCGTCCAAGCCCACAGACGGGATGATGGGGACGGAGTTGGCCCTTGAAGAGGAATAGCTGACCAAGTCCTTCTGATCCACGTTATTAAAATATGGGGTTGTCTCTCTTGAAGGCAGTTGCATATTTATTGAAGGATTCTGAGGAGTTTTTAAATCACTGGATGAATACCTGGAAAGAGTAAAAAAAGAGTTCTTGTTGTACATCAAGTGGTCAGAGCAACCAGCAGCAGGGACACTGTGTGAGATTCAGTGAACTGTGCTGAAGAGATACACAACGCTTTCTCCTGAAATAGAGGAGCACTTGGCTGCGGTGGGGCCCCGGGGAAAACAACAGGCTCTGGAGACTGGTTTGGATTTTCAAATCTGCCAGTGGCAAAGCACTGCTTTTCTCTCAGTCTCATTTCACCCACCAGTATATGAGAATAATGGAAATTTCTTTTTAAAACATTTCAGGAGTATTATACGTATATAATATGTATTATATTTCAGAAGTAATATAATGTATTATTAATTTTCTTTGAAAATAAATTTGGAATTCTATTCCTACATTTCTGATCAGGGAAATGGATTGATACTTCCTTCAGTGTCAGAACTCTCAATGTCAAATGATTGCTTTAGGAAAACACTTTTAAAAAGTGCAGGGAAAAAGAACATTAAACACTCATGGTTGCGTAGTCTTTATTTACATAGGAATGATTGCCTGTACTCCCCTTCAAACAAGCAGAGCATTTAAGTGCACTGTACCTCTGAATAAATATTTTTTTTCAATAGCCCATACTTGTATTGCTGGCCTGATTTGTTTTATTGGATTTCAACTGGAAATAGAGATAATATATAGGACTTGAGCAAATGTCTGTGTTCTCTTGATACTGTAATACTGTTTATAAACCAAATCCTTTATCGTCCACTAACACACATTATAACATGATTTTAATGATTGTGAAGCGACTTAGTGAATTTGTATCAACGTTTCCATTTTGTTTCAAAGCCCAACTCTGTTTTGTTTACAAGAAATACTTAAAAAAAACCAGAAATGGAAAGTATAATAAATATAAAATAAACAATGACCAAAGGAAAAAAAAAAAAAAAGATGTTTCCCATCTGAAATTAGTACTTCTAGAAATGCTCTAGGAGTTACTGTATTACCAGTCATGGTTGCTAAGGACCACAGACATCACCTCAGTACCAGAACGTAATTTATTTTTAATCAGCTTATCACTATTTAATAAGGCAAGGTAATGGTGAATCTAATATGTTTTATCCATGGATGAGGAAAGCAACATTTAGATCTGGTTGGAAGTGGAAGCAGGTGCTCTGACTTGAAAGGTATTATTCCAAAAGTTCCTTAAGCCTGCTGGACCTCACTAGGAATATCCTTCCACTCATATGTGCCTCCTACTTTTTGGGATGAGCGGAAAAAGAGTTAAGGAAGAGAAACTGAATGGCGTGAAACTGCCGTGTCCAGTACTGGCACAACCAGAAATTAACTGGAAAGGCTTCCCCTGGCCCCATGCTCCTGGCCAGGTGTCAGACAGGAGGGAGCAGGAGACAACTGCAGGCTCCTTTCCAGCACAGTGCCAACTGAGCTGTGATTAACTGCTGTGTGGTGGAACTGGGTTTGTACAAGAGCTGCGCACACGCCCTGCCCGCGTGGAGCTGGCACGTTCCGTACCAGGACTCTCCTGGCATCCCCAGGGCTGCATCTGGGAGCTCTGCGAGAAGGAGGAAGGGCTGGGAATGCTGCTGCCAGGTGAGGGAAAGAGATACTGCCTTGGGAAATGGCACCCAGGGGAAAAATAGAGCAAGCAGCTTTCTGGGGTGTGTGCTAGAACTTTCTGTGCGTGCTCTGCAGCTGTTTCACATCTGAGACTTGGTTAATGACATTGGCACTATGCTCAGACAGACACACCTGCAGCCATTCACGGAGAGGCTTTCTACACCAGCTATCAGGATGAATGAAATACTCATCAGGGGTGTTATTTCTGAGGGAGGACAATTAAAAAAAACAAATGAAAACAAAACAGTGCAGACCTTTGGGTTGTGCCCATTCTTGTTTCCTTTGCTTATATATAATTGTTCAAACGACTATAGCTGGAGAGATCGCATCAGTTGCATTAGTCCCTTTTTTGGTAATTCAGGCCCTAAATATATTCTGGGCTGCACCCTGAAAACAAAGGGAGTGAATGTTTTTAATGAATTTCACATGCAATGTAGGTATTATATGGATGATATATAAGCAAAACCAAGAAAAGACTGAATTAAAATGGGTTTGGTGAGAAAACAGTAACATTTGCCAATTCCACAATAGAGATTCTTGGGATTTTGAAAACTAACTGGCAGCAGCAGTGACATGTAACGAAATGCCTGGTGTATTTCCATAATATTTTTTTGAAATACAGATAGACATACCAATTTTATGCCAGAATTACATGTTTCTGCCCCTGCTCACAGGGCTTTCAAAGGAGAACTGAGGTTGTATTGAAGTGCATACACTCTGTGCAACAGGTGAGGTATTAAACTCGAAGGGATATTAAATCTAAACCATGTGAGACTTGGCTTTTAGTTAATTACAAACTGATCCATGCTTCTGTGTGTGACACCAGACTGCTGCTGTTTTCAATAGACTGAGACTTAGAACTATAATTGCAGAACCTTAATTACATTCTCCTATAATTAACTTTCCCAGAACCACAGTTCCTCCAAAGAAATGTATCTGTGTTTTTATCTGAAAAAAATTTTTTTCTGAATAAATTAATTCATGTGCATGTGTTTCAAAGTGCAGCTCTCTCTCCACCCCCTTCCTAAAACCAAGCAACGAAAGCAAACATTTATAAATATTTAACAGTAATTATGTTATAGAGTGTGTAAGAATCCAAATTAAACAATGGAAGTGATAGAAGCACAATAATTTCACTGCCCCCTTTAAGAACAGATATCAAAGAGAGACAGAAGGTACTGAAACTTTAAATATGAAATGGATTTTACTTAGCACAGTCCCAGCAGCTTTGCTGTGAGCCCTGTGGCCAAAGGTGTGCAGTGTAGAAGCCTGACAGCAAGGTCCATTGAGATGGATGGGATCATTCCAGGGGCTCTGCCAGGCTCTGGGGCAGCCCTACACTGAACACACAGACCCCCACCTTCTGCAGGCCTGACTACACTTCAGCCAGGCTGCTGCTGGATGGAGTTCAGGATGCTCACAGAATCAGGGACACAAACCACTTTGATTTGTGCATCCCAACAGGGAAAGATGGCGGAGGAAAAAGAGAAGAAAGAAAGTAGTGTAATTTCTGCAGGGGACAAGGAACTTTTAGTTTGGGCTGGAAATTTGATGAGAACACCAACACTGTGAAAGCAGCAGATATTTAGAGGGTGAATATCCTTAGTGCACAAAATATAGATGAAGTGCTTAAGTGGATTGAGGCCAGAAGGGGTCACAGTCTGGTCCCAATATCAAATTTTGCAGAATTGCAAATTCAAAATACAGGCCAGTACAAGCTGATGCTTGTAAGGTCACACACTGATTTCCTAGACAAGAGTAAATGCAATTACCCACAGCTTTTCTGTACCTCTCTCCTCAGCCTGGGAGGAGGCTATGGCACCTCCCTGAGCCTGCATCACACGATGCTGCCACTGGAGAGGGAAGGCTGCCTGCTGCTCCTTTCTGCAAGCGTGGCAATTGCAATAGGAAATTTTCACCAGGAATTATATGCACATATCACACAAATGAACAATAATATTTTTACTGCAAGAGGCAATAAACAATTTTTTTTCCTCAGAAGCAAACAGTAACAATGACACAAGTGTGAGTCAAACTTGTTTAAAAGAAGTCACCAGACACCCAACCCCACCTGTTTCACCTGTAAGACAGAGTGAAGGGTTTCACTGCGACTTACAGGTGAAACTGGGGAGGGCTTTATTCTATTCCAGATATTATTCCTGTTTACATATAAAATATGCTTGTAATATTCTGAAAAGTCTTTGGAAATCTATAGGGATATGTAAATATTATTCAAAGTATCTCAGCAATTGCAAAGGACTTCAAAGGCAGCTGCAGGTTCTCGAGAGCACTTCTGAAACCCAGACCTTATGCACAGCTCAGCTCAGTGCTCTAATAAACTAAATTTAAAAGGGAAAGGAAAAGCAGCATATTCTTTGTGCATTTTTGAAGACAAAACTGTATGAAGCTATCTACAGAAAACCAACTGTGCAATGTGCATTATTTCATTTTCAAAGCCCCCAAGTTGGCTTCACTCACCCGTGACAAGGTATGGTGTCCTGGTCGGTGATCCTGGACTCCTGGAGCTGCTGATATGCTGGTCCTGCAATCCCATTGAACCTACCCCGAGGCAAGGGAGGAGTCCTGCGAAAGGCATTTCTGTGCAGCATCCCACTTCTCTGTCCTGGGCTGCAGCACGAAGAGAGACTTCTAGGAACAACACCAAGAGCACAGTAAAAGTTATCACACCAAAAGCATAAAATTCTGCAAAGTAAAGGTTCAGGATTAATAATGCAGGGATTACTGTTCTTATAAACTTTGCTGTGGCAGTCTATGATGTCAGTAGAAATTCTCTAAGGAAATATAATAGTGCAATCCACCATTAGATGCTGTTTATGCCATTATTTAATACATCACCTCTTTTCTAGGAATGAAAATAATTGCCCACTATATGAAATGTTTTCTTGCATTTGATAAAGGATGCTTCTCCTTTCCATGCTGCATATCATAATCCTGCTATAGAGAGTTGAGTCCTCAGACAGCATAAACAAACAATACAGCTCTCTCATACCCACAGCTGAATTCAAAATGAGATTCTAAACTGAAAGTCCCATATATTATCTATCATCCTGTGAGGTGCTGCTTCCTGATACAAAGCCATTAAATTGAGAAAAAGTGTAAGTGAAGAATATAAGCAAAGCTGATGAACTGCAGATTGAAGAAGCTAAGACAAGTTTTCTCCGCCTTGAACAGTATTTCTGTATTATTTTATTCGTTTTATATACAGATTTCTTTGTTGTTTATATACATTGATACCATGCTGTTTCTTTGTATGATATAATAGAAACTTGAACTTGATAAAAACAAGTAATAGTTTTCTACTTATTTTAGAAAATTGGTTTTGTAAATGTCTGGTGTTTTGGAAGGATATTGGATTTTTTTTTCATTTCACACAGGAATGAAAAAGTATCTAGAACCCACAGTTTTGCTATATAAACCATACATTTGCTAATGCAAAAATATGGGAACGCAGAGCTAAGGGAAGGCATAACCCATTTTTAATGCTAACAGGTCTCAGTACTGCATGGTGTGACTGAATATTCATTTTTCAACTACTCTATTTCTCTTGGCATCTTCTGGGTCTCAGAAATGCATCTGTTACCTCATATTCTCTTACATCTTTAATGATAACTTAACATAGGTTTTCTAGATGCCTTTTACGAGTCATTATTTTTGGCTGTGTGAATAATTCCAACTTGTGACAGAATTCAGCAAGGCAAAAGACTTTTGATAAGTTTGCTTCTTTTTTCCTATTATAATGTGACTTAAAAGTAATCTGAATTTTTTTACCTAGTGGGAACTTTAATTACAGTTAGGGCCACATCTACTCCCAGAGCAATTCTTTCGTGGAACAAGCACCTTGGACAAATTCTCTTTGAATGTACATTTCCATTAAAATCCACATCTTCTGCCCAAAATGAAAAGAAGAAATAAATTCAACACTCTCTATCCGACTGCTCAGGCTAGCAGTGTTCCATTGCAGTCTAACCTCTGTTTTCTTCCACACCTTTACTCTCCTAGTTCTTTCTACTGAAAGGCCAACAACCCATAGCAATAACAATCCCTCCAGGATTTTTTATGCTTGCTTAAAAAGATTTTTCCTTTGCTACTAAGGAGACTGTGAAAAAACCTTTTTAAAAACCTGAAATACTGGCCTCTCAGTTCTGAAGGCTGAGTTTGAGTTGCAAGTCACAGTTCCTACTCTGTAAAATAACACTACCCCACCACAAAATAATTGACAATTTATGCTCAGGAGAGCCTGAGATTAAAACAGCAGGGGATCTCAAAAGATGCAGGTGAATTAACAATTGGTGCTGGATAATGAATTTTTGGGGTTTTTATTGACCTGAGCGTAGGCATCAATGGAATCCAAAAGTAAAAAAACCCTTCGGATTGGTTACAAATCTTTAAAGTTAGAAACTTTTATTGTTTAATTTGTGGTTGGTTTGATGCCTTTGAGCATCTTCCTTGTTGGAGGAGAGTACATGATCTCCATATGCAAATTCACAAAAGCTCTATTCGCAATAAAGATAATTTCAACATGTACAGCTATACCTAAGGTAATAGGTGTAAACTGCAGAAATGCTGAGACCAAAGGGGTCCTGCAACCACACAACTTCCAGCCCTGACATAGTCTAATTTGTTGCTAATGTGAGGTTCTTATGCTTTCAACATTTCTGCTAGAAAAAAAACCCAACACAAAACAAAACCAAAGGAAGAATGAACAAAAATCATTTGAGGTCACGGACAAGAAAAATTCATTAAAGATCAGGAAATACTTACAGACAGTGCAGCTGCAAGCTGCAGGATAACAGCTGTTTCTCCAGGCACCAAAAAAACCCCTAAGAATTTCTGTTAAAAATTCTATGGAAAAGGATCTTCAGCACAAAGCTTTTCCTTTTACACGAAATTGGTATGTATATCAGCAATGAAAATGCAATGTCCCTCTCAGACTTCTCTATCACTCATGTGAAAAATTCCTCCCTCTAAGGCAAACAATGGTTTTTGGATTTTTTCAGGGAATTTGTTTTCCTTTAGCCAACATTGTGGTTTCTTCCTCCCTGCACTCCAGTCTAACTGGGTAAAAGAAACCAGCCCACATAAGTGAGCCATTCAATAAAGCAGACCAATACATAAAGCTGTAGCAAATATGTCCTTAAAATCTATCAATCAATTACTCCAGAATAAAAAAAATCAGAATATGCATGAAGTGGTTCACAAGTGATGCACAAACTAGGGAAAAATGCAGTTCTGACGATTTAATGTTTTGAAAAAAGCAGTTCAACCATCCTAAGGTTAAGGAAGAACTTGGGATTTATTCTTGCCAGTTGTTTTGTGTGAGAATTTTCTTTGGCTTGAGCAACTGAGTGAAAACAAAGTCTGATCCTACAGGTGGAGTATTCTCTTTTTGGGGCACATACACAACTCCCAAGGGCAGTTGCCCATGTTCATGAAGAGATGACCAGCAGTGTTTTTACAGTAACTCTGGGATCATTCTGTACTACTTCTGAACTAACTACAAACCACCCAGTAAATACATACCCCAATGACTGAGCCAGCTGCCAGGCAGTGTCCTCTGACATTCCCTCAGAGCCACCTTTTTAGGCTGTTAGACAATCTACTGCTAGCATTTGTATGGATCAACTACTGAGACTTTCAGCATTAATAAATACAGTCTACAGCTACAAATCTCCTCTTGGTTTCTGAAATGTGAGCATTATTGATTCCCTCATAACATTCTTGTATTTGGAATAGTCTGTTTTGAGGTTACTCAGGGACTTTGGAACTCTATGAAAATCCCTCAATGCTACCTGCGCCATCTGGTCACCATCCTGGTGAGAGAACATTAGAAAAGGGAACAGAGTATTCAAGGTATGTCAGATGCACTGACCTTAATCATCTGCCATAACCTCATCATACACTTCCTGTAGTGCACTGATCAACCTCCATCCTAAACTGATGATCATATCCAGGCTACTATTACAGAAAGTTGTTCTATATTGCAAACTCTGAGACTTCTTTTCAGTTTGAAATTAATTCTGATGAATATTCAGCAGGTACATGTGCCACCACACTCCTTCCTTTGCAATAGGTCTTTTACTTCTCGTTGTGCTTGCTCTCATGTATTCCTAAGCAGCAGTCAGTCATACACCCTTTCCAGCCTCCTGAAGACTGACATGAGACAGACTTGTAACACTTTCCATGGAACATGAACCATCCATTCCTCATCTTGGCTTGGGAAGGCAGTGTGAGTCCATGGCAATTGGGAGGCCATTTCAGCCAGGTGAGGGAACAGTGGTGCACTCTCACACTGTGCTGTGCTCCAGCTTTGTTCAGTGACCTTGGCACTAAAATGTCTGTCCCCAGAGTTGACTAATTCTTTGAGTGCTGCACTGGTGAATGTCCTCCCTTCTCAACACAAGTCCTTAACATCTGACTTTTAAGCACCTCTGTGCATGCACAATAGAGTTTTTCTGCCTCTCCCCTTAAAAGCATTAGACACATAACAGCAGTGACTGAGCTTCTGTGGAGAGCTAACTCACCCCCACCAAACACAAATGCAATCATCAGTGCAGTATCTGATCCTATGTTGCAGTACCTGCTGTTGGTAAGATAGCAAACCATTTTTTGCCTTTTTTATATCTACCGCAAGAATCTTCTTCCCCCAATTTATCCTAAATTCTTGACTATTCAAATTCAGCATAATTAGTTCCTACTTTGATAAATTCTTCATCTTCCTAAATGTTTAACACTTGCTAATCTATCATCTCATGTCACAGCTCCCATTTTTATAGATTTTGCTTCCAGACATGAAATTTTGTTCTTCCAAATTTTTTTTGGATCAAGATTAACCAAACTATCTTGAGAGCTTTGATTTCCACATTTTACTTCCACTTTGACTGTAGGAATGTCTATTTTCATGCATTTGGTTCTGTTCATATTCAACCTTTGTCCTCAAATAGTCATCCCAACTTTGCAATAAAAAAATGAAATCTATTAGTTCAGGATTTCCCTAACTGCTTCAATTATTATCTATGTCCCACCATCTGTTTTGCTTTTTCTTTGGGAAAATAGCAGGTTACTTACACCTTCTTCCTTTCAGGCTTCCTCTGCCTTTACATTCCTAGTTGCTTTAGTTTAGCTATACTTGCTCTTTGAAACTCAATGGCCTTATTTACAGAATAACTTTAACTCACTCTTTCCTCTACTGTAAACTGAACCACTTATATTAGCAGCATAAAGAGTAAAATGCTTACCAAATGAAAAAAAAATCTCTTCCATGCTTTTTGTGGTGTGAAAAGTTCATTAAAAATGAAAACACAAATTATTATTAATTTTAGGGTAAGTTTATCCTATTTTGGCATTTTTGTAAGACAATACAACTGCTCCAGGCTGAAAGCCTCTGCATTTGGCTTTCATCATGGCATTCTCTGAAATGAATCCCTCTAAAATCAAGGATGACTGCATCCATGAATGAAAGTCAGGATGACTAATTACCAAGGAAACTGCTATTCAAAGGGATCACAACTCAACCCATAATTAACAAAACTCTAATTTATTTCTATCTATCAGAAAATAAGGCAGTATGGGTTTCCTTCTTACCAAGATCAACAGATGATCCAAGACAAATTTTTGAGCACATTGTATACGTTGCAGGAAGTTTATTGATTAAACACATTTGTTAATTTTGAATTCTGACAGTTCTAAGAGTTATTTTACATATGCAAGCAGAAGATGCAACATTCTTCTATGGTAACAGCAGTGCACAACGCAGGCAAAATATTTTAGGAGATTAATAATAACACAGGCTAAATATTTTTTGAGATTAAATTTCAGTTTTCAACCTAATCTCTGCATTAATTCTTTTTGTGTAGCTGAGGTTTGTTGAGACAGAAAATTGCTATTATCCATAATCTGAGTGAAATAATTAGCCAGTCTCTGTCAGTCACATTTCAACAACTCCAAATGATTCCCTACACTGACAGTCTTACTTCCAGGCCAAAATTTTTTAGTTTCAGGACCTGGTAACAGCCAGCTCCTGATTTTAAGAAATGATCACCCATCATTAGTGTCCTTGAAAACACCAGCAGAGAAAACAGGTCTGGATGTAGAGCAAAGTATTTCTGCAGCAAGCAGAAATAAAACAACAATAGAATTTAGAACAGCACAAAAGAGAGAACCTGCAGAGCTGATATGCTTTTTCCAGGCTCAGTCAGGTTTGGAATGAAATGAACAGATATTTAGTACAGAATCCTCATTTGACCATTTGTCCACAGTGAACACTATTTAGAAAATAAATTAGGAAGCTCTTACATGGCACATAAATTAAAGACAGTCTTGTAAGTCTTAAACGTTCAAGTCTGTTGACTTTTTATAAAACAAGGACCTTGTACAATAAACATTAAGCTTTAAAACTGCAAAATAATTCTTTATAAATTAACTAGTCATCCCACTTAAAATAGTTCCAAAGCAAAGCCATTTCTTGGACATTACAATCACACTATTAAAAGGTAAGGGAATGAGTTTTTTCCTGAACTTCATGTTGTGACTAAATGGTGATAAAATTCTTCCCAGAACTTCTGTAGAAAGCATTCTAGGAAACAGCCCGATAGTTCATCTATTCTTAATAAAATTATTAAGCATGTTTTGAAAATTTCTGTGTAATAAGGAAAAATATCTAAGAAATGGATCTGACATGACAATTGGCATTATTTTTTTTTCATGCCAAATTAAAGGTTTAAGTAAGATAAAAGTAGATAGAATCCAAATATTTCTTTCTGGTTTATGTGTGGCACTTTGTAGGTTAAGCAGATCACTTATTCAAATGAGGAAAAAACCACATAGCTGGCTGGGAGACTGCACTGAAAATGCACCAAATACTGCAGAAGCCAGATCATAACCTCATGCAATCCCAGACTTTTTCTAAAGTAATTAAAAAGGAAAATCCTTTTAATAAACATGTCTTCCACTCCAGATTATCTAGCTGAAAAAACTCCAAACTCATTTTTCTCAGCCTTTTTCTCTCTCTCTGTGCACTGGACCAGATGTTACCACTGTCATTCCACCAACATTATTGCTTGTACCAGACTCCAGTTTGGTTTCTAGTCCTGTAATGAAAAGTCCTGAAGTCTTTCTCGTCCAAAAACATGTTAGAAGCAGAATTCTAATCTGAATCTCATCCAGTGATGGGTGACATTCCTCTTTTTTTTTCTCTTGGAAACCACTATCCAAACTTTTTTAAGCCTTGTTTTCAAAGGCCACCATGTTTTCATAAATAAGTCATTATTCATTTAATGCGTCTTTTGTTTAAAGAAACTCTAAAAAGGGCTGGAAGTTTGCAACCAAGTCTTTCTGCAGCAATGAGTCATTAACTTAATGAACATTGATAAGGAAAGTCTTGTTTTTAATGGTTCCTCCTCCTCCAGCTGCTCCACTGGCTGGGCTGTGCCTGCAGCTTGGATGGTGCCTGCAAATGTTTCCTGCAGGACTGGCACCACCCACAGAGGAAGGCAGTGAGCATCCCCATTGCCTTTTATGTCTGCAGCTAAGAAAATGCTTGGACATCTGGTTAACAAGCTGGCTGAGGCTGTTCTGGGGACTGAGCAGCTCACCCAGAGCCAGCACAGCACAACCCTGCACACGGATCAGCAGCTCTGCAGCCTCCCAGGCTGCTCTCACAGACAGATGTTTGCTCACCTGTGGTGCTTGATGGGCTGGGTTCCTCTGTCAGGAGACAAGGCCTCTGGGAAAGACTGGGTGCCTGAAAAACTAGACTCCATAACTTTGTGCAGAATGGGCCCCGGGTGCCTATCTGGCTTTGAGTACTGCGGCAGAGAGAATAAAATTAATTAATACTCACAAGACAAAGTACATTGTTGATGCTATTCACTCTGAATTCATATCAGAGACGGATAAGAAGTGCTCTAGTGCATTTTAAAATCAGAATTAGGCATTGCAAGTAACACATTCATTCAGCATTGTTTACACAGCAGAAAGGGCTAGTAACCATTACCCCCATTACGTTCTGCACATCAAAACACTGATATCAGCCTCAGCAGCAAAATTACAGACTGATCTGCCCACAATGATGGGAACAATGATCCCTTGGACTAGAAGTCTGTTTTTGTGGCTGTCCATGCAGAGACAGATCACAAAACACATCTCAGAGGACAGCCAGCAACTTCTTGGGTCCTTTGGTGATTTCAGTCAAACACTGCATTCATCATCAGCATGTACAACTATGAAAACCAAACTGAAACGGCACTTGTGTCATCAGATAAGTAAGAAAAATATTTGAATCCCATCCACAGAGCCAGATATCTCTCTGAACCAGTCTGAAACTTTTGACCTGGGAGTATCTGTGCCAGTAAGAACAGTGTAAACATAATTCTTCTTGTGGCAGGTGTGGGCGTAGGGCAGTCTCTGGGCACAGAGTGAGACACAAAGGTCTGCAAAGCAGACACTAGACATGAAGAACAGATTTTTTATTTTTGCTTTGTGATTCAACTGCAATTTCAAAAAAAAAAAAAGAAAAAAAAAGTCTCCCAACAGCCATGGAGCCATAAAGTTGAAGTATAGAAAAAGCTGCACTAAAAAGCTGCACTTTGGCTTACCAGAAGATTCCATGTTGTTGGTGGTCACTGGGCAATATCTCAGAGATATGAGAGGGTAACTCACATTTCCACTCAGGTGTGAAAAATAAAGCTCTTTCCAGACTTACTTTTTACTTTGCATTACAAGGACCTGCACTAAAACTAATAGGCCTGTTTTCCTTTTGCTTTTTATTTTTCGTACTGGACACCTAGATGTCTATGCTGTCTTTAAAATAAATTTGTATCGTGGCAGCGATTACATGATGACATATTTTAGAAAGAAAATACAAATTAAAATATTAGAGAAAAAAATCACAGTGGTGAAAAATGTTTGTTATGATACAATAGCACAAAAATTCATGGAGAGGATAGTAAGCATCCTTTCAAAAGACAGTTCTTCATAATTATTAGCTTTGTCTAACAAAAGACCAGTAACTCATTAAAACAACAGACTGTTATTTTCTGACTCTCACTTATTCTTATCTACATTTCTGTAGACTTCAGCAAGATCAAAAAGCAAAGTCACACAGGAATATTCCCTTTTAAACATAGGTTACATGTACTTTTAGTCCAGCCAGTCACACTTCTTATGATCAATTTCTATAGATAAAAGAACAGCTCTTCAAATCTTTCTCCACTGCTCTTCTCCTTCTTTCTGTTGAGTGAAATACCCATGTTAAACACAAAATCATTGTTTTTCTGCTTCTGAAGGCAAAGCTATGAGTGGCAATATGCAAAAATGGTGCTGCATGCATGAAGCAAATGCAACTGAAATAATAAGAAGAAACATATTCCACTCCCATTACTTTCAGTTACCATGATCTTAGATGACACTTGTAAATGTTGTAGATAAAATATTCAGACAGAAATATGATTTTTAAGGTACTCGCATCGGTGAAGGTTTTAAACTTTAATAGTTCTCCTGCCAGCTGCAGAAATGAAACTGGCTTTGATTTCTGACCTGAATAAATCAATTTGAGCTATGTAAAGAACGGCTTGCTAGTGCCAAGAAGCTATTTCTGTCCTTTTTTTGAGTTTGTTCATGGTATAACACTGAAGGCCTGAATGGCCCATAAGACCAAGAGTAAGAAGTACATCATGAAGAGCAGAGATAAGCTCTGCATTTTGCTACATCCTTGTTTCAGGTGGATGTGGGCTGGAGCAGTGGCACGCAGAGACTTTCCCCATCCCAGCTGAGGAACACCAGCACACCAGAAGCTGCTCTGATGCTGATCAGCAAATTTTAATGAAGGTCCAGCACCCAGCACCACTCAAGCACAGCCTACAAAGGGATTTTTTTCCCCCCTAACTGAACGTTTTTCGCCTTTTCAGATACACCACTTTATACACAGTCATAACATTCATTACAATGGAAATGTGAATTAGAATTTAAATTGAGGGCGTGAATATACAGGGAATTCTAACAATGTAATTGAACAGATCTGGATGCACCACATTATCACTACATTTTAATATATTTAAACACAGTTGGGTCTATTCTCCTTTAGCTTAACTCCAAGTGCCACACCCATTCTCTAAGATCACCTCTGGAGGAAAACACCTTCACACTCTTGTGAAGAGCTTAGAGCAGCACCAGTTGGTGCCCCAGGAGGACAACATGAGATCATTCCCCACCTAAAATCTAGCAGGGCTCATCCTGCTGCTCTCACAGCTCACTCCTCGACTGGGCTGAGCTCCATGGAAGCCTCTGACTGCTGTGAGCTGCTGAATGCTCAGCCATGAGGGAGAATAAGCTGTGAAACCCTTTCAAAGGCCTGTTCCAGTAGGCTGAGAGCATCACTGAAAGCTTATCTGTATCTGGGTTTTTTAACTGTTTTTTGCCTTCTTGGTTAATTATCTGTTCTTGTTTGAGCAATTACTGCAAAACACTGAGGCATATGGCTAAATAAATTAAAGAATAATGATTGCTTTAAAAAAATTGCAAAATTTTCCATTTTTCATTGTTTCATTGAGAAAATAATCTATTATGTGCAATTACTCATCTCTCTGACAATAAAACTTCCACCCCCCGCTAGTTAATGCTAAGTTAATCTGTGAAGGCAGCCTGAGCCAGGAGACAAGAAATGAGCCTTTGTCACTGACCTGCTGCATTGCTGTGAGCACATAACTCATCTGCTCTATGCCTTCAATTCCCTGTTCTGAAATGTGGGGTTCAGGGATAACAAATGCCACTGGAATGCTCCAGAGCAGCTTGACACTGCTGTTCTGGCGCGATGCAAACCAAAATACCCATCCCTCACTGGGCTATGGTGCTATGCAAACCAAACACCCATCCTTCCCCTGGCTTTATTCAGCTCCTCCCCTCAGTGATTCCCCCAAAACAGTGAAAGGTCCAGAAATTCATGTGGCACTGGAAGAGAGGTGATGTGGGGATCCCATTTCAGAAGGACTGAGAAGCAGAGGGGTCAGCTTGAAATGACACTCAGAGAGGTTGTCTCAAGGAGGAAAAGAGCCAGAGATTTTTCTGAAGAGGCTGAACTGACACAGAAGCTCATCAGGTGGTATATTTACCATCCTTACTGTTCCCCTATGCTTTGTATGTTTTGTTTACAGAGGACAGTAAATTCAGGTTTGTCTACTCTGGCACTTCTTCCTAAGTAGCCATGTGATACAGAAATGGGAAATCTGCTCTTGATCTCAGCTGATAAATCAAATGGCAACTCACGTAAACCCCAAAGTAATTCTTTAAAAGACTTAAAGTATCTCTTGCTTGACATGTATTAATTGCATTTCTATCACAGTGAATGGAAAGATTTTATTTCTTACTACTATGAACAAAAGGAAACAAGATGCAAAAGGAACATTTTTTTGTCCCTCGTTATAAGAATTTCAAAAACCTCAAGCTAGTGGTTGGAAGCTTCTAGAAACAAGTGTAGTGAAAATTGAAACCACACAGAACAGCATGAAAAGCATATTAACCAGCTCAGAGGGACAGTGATGGGAAATTAATAGATCCCCTTGGTACCATGGGAGAAGGTATTAAAAACCACAAGGATGAAAAAGGCCTCTTTAAAAAGCCATGACAATTCTCAGAATCACTAAAGGAATGTCAAGGTTTCAGCTGATCTTGAAATTTTTTTTTTCCATGACATATTTACCAAGTTGTAAGAGTTGAAAAAGAAACCCTTGATTTTATGTGGCTCCTGTAGGAATCAGGAGCCACCCCAGCTCCTCCTGCCACCTGTGTGAGGGTGCCCCAAGCACTTGTCTTTCTAGACAGGGAGAATGACAATTTCCTTCCTTCTGATTATGTGCAGACCTAACTGTTTGCTGCAGCCCTTTAAATATCTCTTGAAAGGAGGATGATCTCTTTGGGATGGAGTACATAATACTTTAGAAGCTCTAGGCTTTATGTATTAGGTGAAATTAATCTCAATCTCCTGTGTACCTCAAAGATCCTGGATTAAAAGCTGGCACATCTCCTCCTGGCTGAGGAATTATAGCAAGATTACCAGTGCATTAGTCTTTAAATCCAAGAGGCTAGAAACCCTAGCAAGAACCACCCAGCAAGAATTTAAGTGTGTCTCTGCCAGAATGTTTTGGAAAAGCAGTGGACTTGGAGGAGATTCAGGAAATCCTAGGAGCTGTGTTCAAATGATATTTATGAGTCCTTCTTACAGTACACAGTATTTTTCATCTAATTTGTACCTCTAAGAAAATACTGAAATTGCTACTGAGGATGAGACAGGTGAGCACAATTACCAGTGATGAGCAGCAGGACTTCAGAGAGAACACAGCTGTCCTGTTCCCACAAAATCCACCCCTTTATTTCACTTTTCAGAATCACAACTGAGCAGAGGCAGGGAGTGGAGGAGATGTAATACACTTGAGTATAGGAGGAAAAATTACTGCACTGAGATTGGTCAAGCTCTTTATAGCCACAAACCTCTTGCAACCTTGTCTGCTATACCTTGGGCCTTGGGAAATAAGTTAAACCTCCTTCTAAAGCAACACATTTGGAAAAATAGATGGGCCCTTTACTAAATATAGCAACCTCTCAGTCAAAAGGTGATGGTTCTTTCAGAATAGTCATCAAGAATAAGGAACCTTATGCAGCTTTTCTCAGGTCTCCACAAAAGCATTCTGCTCTGCAGAAGAGAGAGCTGTGTGAAAAGCCTGAAAGCATCACCAGGTCTATTCAAAAGAGACAAGAGAAAAATCTGGGATAATCTTCTAGGGAAAGACAGAAAGGTGGCAAAAATGGGAAAACTCTCATGCTTGTAGGGGGAGCACATGGAGTGGGAAAAGAGACAACTTCCAGGATTACCTAAACCAAAATGCCAGACTGGAGGAGTAGCCTCCAGAAAGTAACTGCCCTCATTTATTTATTTATTAGCTCCTGGCAATGGAGAGAGCCAGGATTTCTCCCCAGGCCCAGGCAGTGGCAGCTGCAGATGGGAATCCCATCCAGGCTGCCTGCTGCCCTTCCCACCCAGCACACACACCCCAGGCAGATCTCTGGTCTCTCAGGGGGAGTCACTCAGCCATTCCTACAAAACTCCTTCCCAAAGCCCCTTCCCTGCAGCCTCACCAAACCCCTGCCCTTTCCCCCCTCCAATCTGGCAAGTTCTGTAAATATTTCATGAGCTGCCTGCGTGCACTCCTGCACTCAAATCTTCCTAACAATAGAAACTGCTATTACACTGTTACACTGCATCCTGCACAAGGTCATTCTGTTTTCCTTCCTTCCTATCTTCCCAAAGGGAGAATGCATTAATGGCAAGGAGAAAACAGTTGCCTGTAAACAGCCACAAGGACAAGAAAATGGTGTGTTAATTACCAGCACTCATAATGTCAGACTGAACAGAAATAAAAACTGAAAATCAAATTTGGATTAAAATAGTAAATATAACGATGGTGTCCAATCTCTGTGTCCAGAATGCATGAACTGCTATTTCAGCCATTATGGCTATGGCTGTGGCAAAAGAAAATGACAAAATATTGCACTGAATTACAGTGAGAAAATGCCAAAGAGCATTTCTTAGTGTTAACCAAGGCTTATTTCACAGGATAGAACAAAAGGATCTCGAACTTTACCTTTTGCTGCCATCATTACAACCAACAACACTTCCAACAGGTCTTTTGTTTAGGGGTTAGAAATAAGGCTGAATGAACTGAAAGTGAGAGAAAAAATTGCACAAGGTTTCCCAAATTGTGATTATGTCAATTTAGTGGAGCTATCTTCCTTCTTGGAAGAGTGTATTTTTCCTGAATTACAAAGCATATCATGAGCATAGGGGCACCACAGTGGTGAATACAGAACTTGTAGTGAATATAAGCAAGGCTCTCACAGCCTCTCTGTCTTAGCAGGGAGGCTCTGCTTACTCTAAATTGGTTAAAAGGGCTTACATTTATCTCTAAATTAATTGGATGTGAACTAGGAGTTCAGAAGTCTTTGGTTAAATGGGTAGGAGTGCTCACTTTTGCTAAATTCCCACTGTTTTGATGGAATCTGGCAAATAAGGAAGTTATTCCTTTAAGCAACACTAAGATACTTTTTTTTTAAAAAAAGGAGTTAATAATTTAGAAAGGTTTTATATATCTTTTATATTTTCCTATTATATTGCTTACCAGGATCCTTCTTCCAAAGGCTTTGTTCAAAGTAAGACAGCCCTGATTGTGTGTGAGCAGGGGAAAGAGAATGACATACACTGGAAAATATCTTCCTAAAAAAATATCAGGGCTAAATAAATTGGTTGTCTTCAATTTCCTTATTTCAAACACGCTTTACATATTTCATGATTGTGAGACTGTAATGAGTTACATATAATTACATTCAGAAAATGATTAAATATATTTCAAATTTAGTTTGAACAGACTAATTTCTTTCTGTAAACCAAAGTACCTTTAAATAAAGACCCAGAAAAATGAGACCATCTGCAGGGTCTTCCCTTGGGCATTTGTTTACATGTGTAAATGTAGTTCTAGATCTTGAATTCACTCTGAATTAACTGTGACAAATGTCTGTGTTTTTTCCTGCAGGTTCATAAATTATTGGAAGGTGTGACATCAGTTATGTTCAAGGACCCTCACTACACGTACAGACACGTATGGATATTGCAGGAAACTATAAGAGTAATTTCCACTGCTGAATGCAGAGCTGGGGGGCTCAGCAAAGTCTGCCACATGAACAAAATGTACAAGAACCCATTGAAATAACTTTAGGAAAAAATCCCTGCTTTCCATTAAGAGGCTGATAGAAAACATTTTATGAAAGGGGTGAGAATTGTGGTTCCCATTGCTCAGATGTTAATAGCAGCATGACGATGTGCTGCCATCAGCAGCAGGAACTCAGCCAGGCTATTAAGTGCTGTAGTTGGCAGGATTACTTACATTTTGCAGCTGGACTTGGCTTTGTGCCATACACTCTGACTTTGCCATCATGCTGGAAGCATTTAGGCTGTAGGTTTTCCTATTCTGCGTTTCTTTCAGCTGTTCGTGGATCTGCTTGGTTTGCTTCCTGCAGAGAGAAATGAAATCCATGTAAGAAAGAGCTCACTTGATCTTCTGCTAGAGCCATGATACTTTTATAGCCACAGCTCCCTTTGTTCAAAACTTCACCCTGCTAGCCAGCTGAGCTGACTCACTGATGTCTGATATTCCAGTGCAGCCGTTGTTTCCTGGCAAGGCTTAACAAAGGGGACAAAAACCCCTCTCTTGTGTTTTAAAATACCTTCTATTCTCAGATCACTCCAATAGTAGGCTCGTTGTGCTGGTGCAGGGTTTTGTAAGATCATCTATTGCACATTTAACAATAGCTTGCGAGTCAGTGTGAATAATAAAAAAGCATTTTGCTCTGATTTGGAAAAAGGGTTTTGGCAAATAAAACAGGCATTAGCCCCTGCTGGCTATAAAAATCGATGAAGAATCAAAGATTTCTGCTGGCTCATTAGACTTGACCTGTAACACATCTTATATTGAGCAGCTTCGGCTTATAAGCTGAAACCTGGAAAAAATGTCAGTATGGCCACCGAGACTGTGTTTTTGAGTTATCATACTATAATCCACCCTGTCAGAACTAGGAACACCACTGGATGAATCCCTTGCATTATTCAGGAGATAACTGCACTGTTAACAAAGACTTTCTCTTTCTCTGCTTCTGCCACACTGTACTGAGTGGAAGTGACAAACAGTTTTTTAAGTTCTGTACATGAAAGAGGATATGAGACAGCAAACTTTAAATATTACTTTTATCTTCTGCAAAAAGTTATCTCAGCTGGGCAAAAACTGCTAACAAAATACATTTAAGCTCTTTTATCAGTTTTTTTTTTTTTTTTTTTTTTTTTTTTTTTGTGATAAGCTACATTGTCTGGGACTATCAGCTTTAAACAATGATGAGCAAAAACTTCACAATACCATTTTAATTCTTTCCTTCCCTGCTTGCTTTCTCTCTCCAGAAGATGCATCTCCAGCAGTGAACCTACAATGGCCTTGGAAACAGCCCAGCAATGTCAAGGACTCACCAGCAGCAGCATTTCATTATACCACCAGCAGGTTTTGGACAGCAACTGGTGCTGAGCCAAATTTCCAAAGGAAGTGATTTCTGGCAAGTATTTGTAAGAGATAAATAAAATACTGAAATTTGAATTTTAGCAAAGCAGCTTCAGCAGCATTTTGAAAAATTTCTGGTGATTTGATTTTGGAAACCCTTGTGACATCATTAAGCTTGATAGAATCTTGTGTCAGATAGTGAATTTGACACTGAATGAAGTATAAAATTAATCTGAATTTCTTATTCACAGTGGAATCTCTTGTCTACTGCTGGAAGGTATAAGAGAGCAGAGGAAAATTAATTACATATGTGTTCAGCGGAGGGGCCTGTGAGGGAGGAAAAGTTCCCTCAAAATGAAAGTAAGTGGTGAGAAGTATCACAGTTCAGATATTCAATTTTAATAATATAGTTTCAATATTTCTTGAGTCCCTTTGTTTTGGTTGTGTGACACAATAGAAGCATTTCCTTGAATTCAACAATTTGTAAGTACCTGCTTAGAAGTATTTGTTACAGCTCGTTTCCTGAGTACAGGTCACAAGCCATAACAAATGCAGGACTCTGAGCACCTCTTAGGCTTTCTACTTACATCCTATTTTGAAACGAATGGAAAAGAATGAATTTATATTGTAACCATGACACAAATATGAGTGGCATGTTTTGAGTATTGCTAGGAGCTCATAATTAATAAAATCTATTAATAGAGAGGTAGGAAATAGGAAATAATTTCCCAAAATAATTTCACAAAAATGTTCAAGATTTTCTTTAGACAAAACTGGTAGAATTAATATTAGAATAATCTGAATAGATATATAATCTGAATGAATATGTATATATATATTAGTGTCAAATTAAATTTATATATATAGTGTCAAATTAAATTAATCAGTTGAGTCTGAAACATCTCTTTTAAAAATGTTTTTAATATCCAATAATTTTTGAATCCAATGAAATTGAACAATTTCATTTGTAAAATGTCTAAATGAGCTCTTCAGCTTCTCATAAAATTCCAGGGAAAATTCATAAAAGCAACTTTAGTGTTTTTAAGAACAGCTATTTTCTGACCAGCTAAATTACATCCACTGAGGAAATTAGCACATCTGTTCCTATGTCCTGCTGGAAAACCAGCCTCTTGCTTGGTCTCCAGAATGGTTATGGAATCTTCTGGAATTTTTTGCATGACTTTATGTAAGGCATGAACAATGATAGTGAAAAATGATCAAAGCATCAGATTTTGGGAACCTCTCATAAACATACAAAATGATAATTTAATCAGGAAAATAACAAAACAATTTTTGGATTTATTTATAAAAATGAACAGAGTTGTTTCTATATTTATAAACACATGTAAGTAAACTGCAAAAACTCAGACTCATTACTGCAGTCTTTAACATTACAACTGAAATTCCTGAAGGTAATTTGCTGAGAAAAACAATCCAATCATTAATTTCCTTTTATGTTCATGCAACCTAACATTAATATCAGGTTTATGCATATTCATTTGGGCAAACTATAGGATGCACAGCTATAAAACTAGAAATCATTAATAATTCAAAGTTACTTGCTGATTAATAAATTTATTTTATAAGTTTTGTTTTCAAAACAAATGGGCCTTATGTGTTCTACTTTAGAGTTATTTGGCAATGCAGTGTTCTTACTTCAGCAAGAAATAAAGTCACCAGTCATTTGTAAAAGTCTAAGCTGTAAAGGGCAGCCCATTACTGTACTCCTCATCTGTTGCTAACACTTCCAGCCCTTTCTTGATTAACCTAAAAGGAATAATTGGAAGGGCACAGAGTTTAATTATAGTCCTAAACTTTCTCAGATTGAGTCTATTTTAAAAAAGGACTTTTAATTCAATGGCTTATAGGGAAGTGCCTATTTCTAGCAGCTGGTATTATAGAATTGTCAGACTAAGTAAGTCAGGATCTTCATGGAAACTTCCCTCTTAATGGATGCACTATTCAGAGTTTCTATATCTGTTAGCAATATTCTCCATTTTTTGTACGTCAAATGAAACCCCAAGATAACCCCCATGCAGGAGGAATGCTTTGATAATTCTTAAGCACAGTCAGGGTGCATATGCCTGATAAAGAAGCTCCCAAGAACCTGCTGACTCAAAGCTAACATATGCTAAGTGTTTGGCACTTCAAATTTGTTGGGTTTTGATCCTTAAGACACTGGCCAATGTTACATTTACAATTTTACCTGGGCTCCATGAGACCTAGCCTAGACACTTTCATCTCCTCTTTGGGCAGCAGCAGATGGAGGCACAGGCAGGGTGTGAGGCACTGATCAGCCTCCCTGTACACTGTCTGAGCCTCCTGGCTGAACCAGAGGTGCTCACTTTCTCCTAACTCTCCAAAATTCAGTTCCCAAAGTCTGGCACCAGCCCACTTCAGCTCTTCTCAGTAACTCTCATATTTGTAATCCAGACAAAGCCCCAACCCCAACCTGCCCCTGAGTCATGATGTACTATTGTCCTGTAAGCTCCTCTTTCAAGTGTTATTTCCACTCATTATTTTCAGACTTAGCTCTCCTCACAGCTGATCAAAGCCAGGGTGTTCTGCAGGCTGCTCCAACCCAGCTCTCACCACTCCCCACAGCAGTGCAGGACCGGGGGGGCACTGTGAGTAACAGGGAGGCTGCTTATTCTCAGTGTGCTCAGCCACTGACGGCATGTTCCTCCTACTGACAACCCATCCTGCCTTTCTGAAACTCCTCATCAGCAAAACCCTCAAGCCTTTCCAGGGAGACTCTCACTCACTCTTCTGAGATGAGCAGATCTGAAATGCGCAATGACATTCCTAATGGCAGTGCCAGAGTGCCTGTCTCTGCTCACATTTACACGACAACGAAGGAGTGTGCAGGGAGGAACTGTCCTGCCACTCTGTCCTTCCCAGCTAGCATCACTGTCACTCTGGATGTCCACACAACAATTAACAAAACCCCTCAAACATCAGAATAATTTAGAAAAACCATGAACCAACTCAAATCTTCACTCATGGCCTACCCCTGAAGTCTCAGGGAAAGAAAAAGGGGTAAAAAAGACCTGGTGACTTTTTTTTTTCCTGGATAGAAAAGTCAATTTAAATATTTTTCTAAGTAAAACCTAATCCTTGTTGGATTTCCTACACATTAAAAGGAATTTTAGAAAGAGATTCATATAAACATCCAAACTTTTAAATAGTGCCAACCTTCACATTTTTGATGTTCAGCCACCCTGACTAGCCTCATGCAGGTACTTTTTAATACTGATTTGTGTTCTCTCATTAACTCCAGCTGGAACAGGAATGAAGGATGACCACCATACATATTTATTGATACAGGGGCACTGACAAGCATGCCATATAACTGCTATGAGGTTTTTGCAACTCAGATTACACACATCACAATAAATATAATAAAATAAAATCAGTTGGGAAGGTAAAAGAATAGAGTGGACAGCATTTCACTTGAAAATAGTTTAGTCCAGATGATTTCACTACTTGAATGGGTTAAATGCTTCTGTGTTACAGGCACTCATATGCATCCTCATCAACAGGCTGCTGTATTAACTACTTGTTACAGATATCTGCAGAGGACTTGTTTCTGCACTTCTAACTTTTGTTCTTAGTATAGAGAAATGGACATTCAGGGATATGAAATGAAATGCAAAAAGGAGATGGTATGTTTAAACTATCGTTTTTCAGAAGAGCAAAGTGATTATTGCAGTGATGGTAAATGACACAAAATTATTACTGTCCAAAAAAAAAAAAAAAAAAAAGAAGTGGATATGACACAATCTAATATTTTGTGATATCAGAAAATAGAAGGAAGAACACACACTGCTCCTGTTTATGTTTTGGGGATGACTTAGTGCAGCCACGGGGAACTGCTGTAGCCAGACCAGAGATAACAGCAGCTTCAAAAGGAGGGGGGAAGCTGAAGGGCTGTAAGGCTGTAAAAGGGACAGCAGCTAAACCCCAGGCACAGCAGAGGAAGGCTCTTACTTTGTTTTGAAGTAGAAGGCTGCACACAGCATGCCCACCACGACGATGCCGAAGACGATGCAGGCGATGGACAGCACCTGGCGCTGGTACACCTCCTCGCTCTCTGTGGGCAGCAAAGGGCACGTTAGGGAGCACAGAACACACCTGCAAAAGGGAGCTGCAGCCCCTCATGGCTTCACTAATGGTGGACAGATTCTTGGAGGTCTGGCCTGGATAATTCCTCCACAGAATGGCTGCTTCTCTGAACTCCCCTCTAGCAAGGTCCGTGCAGCTGGGGCCTCCTCGGAAGTTTTAGGAAATGGCCCCAGTACACTCTGAGAGATACATAATAATGACAAGTCAGGACAGTTTAATCTTTTCTCTGTCCCACATGCTGTTTTTCAGCTTTTCTTAACAAAGATTTTAACATCAATAGGATAAAGTGCCCTACCACCACAGAGTTTTTCTGGCCTAAGGAAAGAACAATCAGAGCTCTTCTGTTGTCCCACAAGAGTCAGAGTTCTCCTTTACCTACCCCAAAAATGTAAGGGTTTTTTGATTTGAATGAGTAAGGTTTTTTGATTTGATTTGAGTAAGGCATTGATTCCAATGCCTTATTCCCGTGTCCTGAAGCTTATGCAAAACATGCCAGAGTAAAAAAATCAACTCAATGAACTTGCATGGAACCCAATGACTATTTTGCTATGAAGCATCAGATATTGCTTTGATAGGTGTTTAGTTTTAAAAAAACAGATTTCCTTTATAAATCTCATAATATTCTAAATAACTTTAAAACCAGAAACAAAATGAAAGTAAAAAAAAAAAAAAAAGGAAATAAGAGAAAACCCTCATTCATGACAGCAGACAGGAGCTGATAAGCAACTGGAGATTCCCACATTCAATTCAACAGCTCCTTAAGACTTATATTTTATGTTTATTCTTCCAACCACTTTTCTAGCTCAAAATGTGAACGCACCAAACAGATTGCTGTTTTTAAAGATCACTTTTTCCAAACATGCAACGTACAAGGCAGTATTTTCATCCACAAATTCCAGGTGGAAAGGCGGCGCGTGGGATTACCAGAGCACAGCCCAAGCCCTGTGTGCTGACAAACCCACATTTCCTGCCGAGGCTGGAGCTCTCAGTGCAGGCACCCCCAAACATGGGAACACCAGGCACACATGCCAAGTAGGTTGCAGCAGCTCCAAGTTTGAAACTCTCAGGTTCATAACAAACATTGTATGAAGACACCAAGGTAAATCCAGGCAAATCACTAAAGACTATGTGCAGTACCCTAATCAGTACTAATTAACAATTTTTCAAGAATGAATATCATAGTGCTGTTATTCAACATTTGGAATCTTAAACACAAGCATCTGTCTCTTGTAAGACCCAGTTATTATTTTGTAAGCTATTAAAAAGAAAATTACAGTATCAAATCTTGATTTTTTAATTACTTGTCTACTTGCTCTTTCAAATAACACCACAGTGATCTAAGATAGAAAATATCCTCAGCTTCTGCTGACATTTCCCCATCATTTAAATAAGAAATTCTAAAAATTGCATTTCTAAAACACTATCTTAAAAAATTAAAAGAAGCAAATAGATTTTTCACCTGTCTAAAAAATAACTGAAGAAACTGTAATTCAAAAGGAAATCCTGTTCATATTGCACTAAATGTGATTCCAGTACAGCTTTAGGCCCATTCCTCACTGGAAGTACCAAATCTGGATCTGGACAGTAAATCCTCACTGGCACTGAACTAAACGTTTGGGGTTTAATGTCTTTTGTTTTGTTTTATTTATTTGTTTGCTGTTAAAAGCAATTGTGCAAACACAGTTACCCAACTTCAATTTCCACAGCAATACACAAATCTAACAAATTTGAATTCTTACATTGATGTAACCACACAAACTCATTCAAAACCTCTTCATTTCAGCAATTGTTAACCTGTTCTGCTTGAATACTGATGTCAGCGCCTACTGCCTAGGCCCCAACTAAACCAAACATAGTTATGAATTGCAGTTTCACTCAAACATTCCCTATACATAACAATTTAAAAATCTGTTCACAAAAATAAATTGATTTAAGTAATGTGTACACTAGGCTTAATTTTGATTTTCTTTCAACTGAAGTCCTCATTAAATACTTTATTTTTTCTCTTGCTATTTCTTTTTGAGAAATTGTTTGTTTAATGCAGCTATGTTCTTTTGTCAGTCCTGAATAGCTATCACTGCCTTGTTAAAGATGCTTCAGAATAAGCCTTACCAAGATAAAAGCAATTCAGAGAACAGACAATATTATCTTGCTAAAACAACTATGTGAAGATTTGAGTCTTTTGTGCAGTCAGATTAATCCCTGTCACCAGCTTTCCACACATGTTGATCAATATTTTCTTTCCTTTTTGTTTACTTTGTACAGTGCATATTTAAAGAAGTACTTATTGATTACCTGTACTCCATTTCTCTAGACACCTTTGTTCATCTTTTACATCCTGTAAATATTTATTTGTGTATTGGATTTCAGCATTTTTTCTCTCTAACATCTTTAAATATAATCAGTTTGGCATTTTTCCATTCTCTAATCTTCTGCATTGGCTTTATTAAAAATTCGCCTTCTTACTAACAGCAATGCAATCTTGTCCTTCTCAGCAAACTACAAGATCTCCTCATGGTTGCCTTGATCTAACCTCACTATTGTGCTAAGTACAGGTAGCACAGCTGAGATCCTCAAGTAGTATCAAAAATGGCTTGAATCTGGGGATTCAAGCACTGCAAAGCACTTGGGCCCTCACAGAACAGAAACCTGGAGAAATCCAAAGTGTAGAAAAGAGAAGAACTGCAAATTCCTTCTCCTTCACTCAAGGATTTGCATCAGCTGGTGCATACACTTATTTACATACTGAAACTAACTTCCCAAGGTAAACCAGAGTGTGACTGAAATGATAAGTCTCTCTTTATTCACATATATTCATATATTCCTTGTGAAGTACATCACCTCAATTACAGTCTGTTGAAACAAATACTCTCGGGAGAGGATTCCTCATTTAATGAGCAGCCAAGAAAATATTTCTGCTAAAAACCAGAATATAAACTGCCATGGATATTCCTGGATAATCCACTGGAGGATTAAGACTACAGAATGTGAATTTCACCAAGCATTCAAATTACAAAAAATACACAACCTCTACTGAGAGAAATACAACCACAGTGCTGAAAAGTAACGTAGTCAACTGTTTAGATGCAGATTTTGTTTAATAAAAATTACGGAAAGAAAGGTCTTCTCAGAACATAAAGACAAGACAAACTCACAAGGAGCACGGTGCCTGTTGCAAGGCTGAGCTCCCAAAGAAAAGTCCCCGTGCACTGTGCCCTGTTACACGTGGAGCCCATTCTCAATTATGCTATTGATTGTTTCTTATTTTCCAACCTGCTACAAAGTTTTCTAAGCTTATCTCACTCATTTGCTGCTATTATGAAACACAAAATGACTACTAGTGACCCATTGCTCACAGCACAGTTAAATTTCACATACATTATGAAAAAAAAGTACATGTTATATTCCAGGTACTGGGGGTTTGAGTTTTTTAATTCTCTTGCTCTTTAAAACTTACAGTCTGTATCCTGTTTATTTTATGCATATGCAAAGACCCACTGAAGCATACATGCATGTCTTTAGAGGATTAAAAAGTGTAGGGTGGACACATTTTTCTCATAACAATCATTTCTAAAGGATATGTTTTTTAATTGTACATAAGCTGAAAGTGGTCTCTTCTTTTTGACTTTATTATAAAAGGAAGAATACTGGTACAAGGTCCTTGAGTATGATTATAACCATATTACTGAGGAAAAAAATTAGTTAATTAAAACAGATTATGCTAGGCTTTGTCAGCACCTAAATCCACAGTATCATTACCAGCCATAATCACTGGATCCTCTGGTTCCATTGTGTGTTTTGAGTTGAAATATCTTTGAAAGGGATTTTAAATATGAAGAACAGCATTGTGCATGTGGCCTATACAAAACAATAACAAAACAAAAATAGTAACTTTCCCCCTTGTGCTTATTCCAATGGCTTTTGAATAAAATCTCAATATGGTCACAAGCATCACAGAGAATAATTACTGACTATTCAAACCAAGCCAACTGAGAAATTACAACATTTACCATACAAATGCATTACTTAACCTTTGCTTTGTGAAGAAAAGCCCCCCATGAAAATGAATAAAGGTATAGAGTAATTTTTATGCTGAAATTTTAACTCCCAGCCCAAAAAGCACAAACCCTAAAAGCACTCAGCATCCCCTTACCTTCCCCACTCCCTTCTCCTAAAAGAACCCTCTGCACTACTGCAGGTAACAACACACTACACACAAATATGGGAAACACTTCATCTTGTCATTGGAACACATGAAATCCAGTAGCTTTCCATGCACAGAGCCAGCTTTTCCTCAATAGATTACAGGGCAGCAATAGATTACAGGCAAGGCTTTGGGGTTTTTTTTGGTCCCCATGCAAAAGCTGAGCCGTGCAGAGGCAGAGAATTGGGCGCTGTGATCTCTGCTGTGACCTCACTGCCACACTTTTTGCATTTCCCTCCACGCCCTGCCCATGGCTTTCCTGCCACACCTCAATTCCAGATGGTATTGGAATATCCTGCAGAGCCAGACCCTCACTTCTGAAGTGAACCTCTAAAGTCTCGTTTGTCACTTAAACCCTCTTTGGTGTCCAGCAGCCTCAAAGTGCCACACACAACAATGGAGGAGGACTGCATGGAAACCTCATCCACAATATCAAGATTTTCAATAAAATACAGATTCCCATAAGATAAAACAGAGTAGTTAAAGTATGTTTCTCAATATAGGTAGATTTATGTGTGAGAAGTACTGAACTATATACGGCATTCTAAATTTAATTCGTGAAGAGAATAAAAAAAGCCTGCATGTTCCACAAAATCTGTGATTGCCTCAGCATCAGACATTCCACTCTCCCAAGAGTTTTCTCTGTTCTTGCACTTGCAAAAGCCTACTGCACAGATTCTCTGCCATATGCTGTGGCTTGTGCTAAGGCAGAGAGGAACGGCTGAGATGCTACAAGGCACAGTTCACAAATTTCTTCTTTGACC